AGAAAAGATTCATTCTAAAAAAAAAAATAAACGCACTTCTTCCCCAGAAAGTTAGAAACACATGGCAAGAACACAAACCTTTGACCTTTACAGAGACAACTGTGATAACCCATGCCCTGCAATATAAATATTTTATGTCTTAATAGTTTTAGTAGAGGATCAAAAAAGGTCTGGCTTGTCATGACAGACATCAGTGGTTTGAAATTAATTTAATCAGAGGTTTGGATTTGTCTTTAAGATCATTTTAGATGGTGGTGGAATTTTATCCATTTTCAATACCATCCTGCTAACCTTTAGCCCCTGTTAGTTACCTTTGGCTAGTTATCCGTTAGCTTGTTTATGTGAGATCATTTGATATGACTGACTTTTGCTACCTTTTAACTATTTAGCCTTTAGCTACCCTAACATCCTTCCTCATAATTACTTACTTAATTATACTTTGTTTTTTCTGTTTATTCCATTTCATTTTGCATATTTTTGTATTTTCAGATTTTTTTTTTATTGCGCTAAAAAATAGCCAGCTAAGGTTTTACTAAACTTATATATATATATAAATATATATGTATATATAAATATACATATGTATATATATATATTTATATATATATACGTATATTTCGCATTAGCATACATTTTAGCTTTTAATTTCACTTATTATGGTAGGTTTACTACAGTATAAAGAAATTGTTTCTACATATTGTGTTTTAATTTTTAGATTTTTTTGTTAATGATATTTATTTACAACCTTTAGCTGAATAAGCTAATTTAAGTCCTCTATTTACTAAATGATGTTTCTGTATTTGAGGCAGTGTTGTTGTATATATTTTGCCTTTTTTTTCTTAAAGTTTAGCGGGTAGAAGTGTAGACTAAATATCTTCACGTGTCCTAGTATTTATTTTGCAGTTCATCTTGAGGCAGTGAAACTGTTAGCTGAAAATGTATGTGGAATGTCAAAGAAAAGCTTCTGTGTAAACCATTACTGCATATATCATAAATATAATGGGCCATAAATCTTTGTAAGCACCTGTATAATATCAGGGAGTCGGGAGAGCAGGGCACAGGGTCCCCTGTGTCTGGGGTCTGCTAAGTGTTTTTTACACCCCTGCTACTCAGAGGTCACAAAAAGTCAATAGTCACTTGTGTCAACCATATACTGTAGAACCAAGTAAAACATCAGTAGTTTTGGTTTTTGTTTTTTTCACCTCTTAGTGTGATATGGACCACTAGGGGCATCACAAGCCCTCTTTTGACAACAAGTATTTTAATCATTGTTCGGTTCTTATAGAAAAATGTTATATTTCTATTTTAGCTTTTATCCTGCATGTCTACGTCTTAGTCAAATATATTAATAAAATCATCCTAACTTTCTTTTTTCTATTCTCTGTTTTTCAGGACCAAGCTCCTGTGACAAACCTTAGAATCTCCTCCAAAAAGGTAACAATCCCTCCCCTCCAGTCTCCTGACTGACTCTTTTAGTAGCTGTGTTTTTGGGCTGTGCTCCTTTACAGAGTGTCTGGAAAACAGAAATCCTCCCGTGCGTGAAAACACTCCCAGAGGTTTTGGAAATAATAGGCCATAATTGTTTCGGCCGCTCCGTCTCATTTTTCCTGTCAGGCGTTCACTTATTAAGACAAACAGGGCGGCTGACATTTGAACTGTTTACTTTTGCAGCAACAGCTGTACGTCAGCTCCGAGTTTGGGGTCTCGCAGGTCTCCCTGCACCGTTGCCACGCTTACGGCTCGGCCTGCGCCGACTGCTGCCTCGCCAGAGACCCCTACTGCGCCTGGGACGGCCTGAGCTGCTCGCGCTTCTATCCTTCCAACAAGAGGTACGTAAAGGTTCAACACAATTTATTTTAGTGTCCACCAAGGATTTATCTTCTACCAGAGGACAGAAAGTATGCGGGGGCTTCAAGGCCCCAGAGCGGATTGTTTTAGTGGTAATAAGTGGTGACAGGTGGGGATTAAAGAGCCCATTCATGGAGGCCGAGAAGTTAGGTGTTAAATAAACAAGAGCACAGAGCAGATGTTTTAATATAATGAAGGAGTTCTTCTTTACTCGCAGTAAAGCTGCAGCAGGAGTGCCGTTCAACAATGAATACTTGTGGAGTAGCGAAGGTTTAAAAAAAGACCAAAATCCCTCTTTGTGGGTGTCCACAAAAATGTAGCGGCTTCAGGTCTGGGTCAACTTCCTCTTCAACATTTCGTAGGTTTATTTGCAGGGCAGGCAGAAAATGAAGGGAATGCTGATTCCATGGAACAATGGACTACTGGGCCACAAGGTGGAGGAGTGGTCGGCGCTTTAGCCTTACAGCAAATTCATCACCAGTTCCAGCCTGTTGATTGTCTTCCTGTATGGATAGCGAACGTTCTCCCAGTGCGTACAGCTAACGTTCACCGTCCAAAAACATGGAGGTTTAGATTAACTGTCCACAGTTTGAGTGTTTAATTTGTGCCTCCAGGGACGGACAGAAAAACTGTACTTTACTTTATATTGATAGATTAGTTTGAGCTCTCCTATTCTTTCAGTGTGTTCCATAGTGTAGCGGTTAGCACGCCTGCTGCGGAAGCAGAGAGCCCTGGGTTCGATTCCCAGGGGAACCACATGCTTGATTGTTAATCCTCACCTTGAAAGTTGCTTTGGATAAAAGCGTCTGATAAATGTAAATGTAATATCTGCTGCCACAGGAGGCGCCATTGAGCACGTGTTTCTCGAACCGAGGACCTTTTGTGTGGCAGATAAGTTTATATGAGTAAATTATATGAGAAAGTGTGTGGATATTTTTCCTCGTTCTCATGGTCAGAGAGTACGTTTGGATGGACCAGTATGAGATGTAGTAGGCTTAGCCCACCCTCCACAAGTCTAGTGGTGTACCGCGGGCTCATGCTAGCAGCCCTTTAGG